TTGGGGTTTAACAGCAAAAATGGAAGCTGCTGTAACAGATAAACCTCAGGATTTCAATGACGTAGCATGGTAGACATTTATTTCGTATACCCATGGAATCCAGTGTATGTGTTTCTGATTTAAAGTGAAGTCTTTTCTCTGTGCAGTCATCCAGGGAACCAGGTTGAGAGAAATTCTTCCATTGTCAGTGCCTTCTTTCCAAGGTTACCCTAGGTGGGGGCATGTAGCCAGAAGGAAGGGGAGGAGGGTGAAGAATCTCAAGGGGTTTTTTCAAGGGCCAGTCCTAGAAATAGTGAAGTCCACTCACACTTACTTCCTGTTGGCTAGAATTGGTCACAAGACCATACCTAATTGCAAGGGAGGCTGGGAAGTGCATTATGCCTTCATGCCCAAGAGAAGAAAATATGGATTCTGTGATCAGATCAGCTACGGTCGCTGCCACCGTAGCTCACATGGAGTGGAAGGCAAGACAGTCCCAGCTGAGTGCAGCACCGCAGGGCAGGGGAGGGAGAAAGCACCCACTCAGGGAAATGAGACGGACCAGGGGGGCTTGAGGAGGACTGGAGGGAGTGACGTCCTGGGATATAGGACATGAGAGAGCGTTTTCAAGATGTGGAGGAGGAGGGGTTGATAGCGACAAATGCTACAGAGAATTTAAGTAGGACGAGTGCTGCCCACCCAAGCATCAAATAACTATACCTCATAAAAATGGGCCCCAGTGGCCAGAGTTCCTTCACTCTGAGCTACTGGCTTTCCCCTGGCTTAAATTCTGGACCTTTGCTTGTTCTCGATCCTTTGGGACCTGAGATTTTCCTTGGCCAGGTGCCTTCACTGCTTAATCCTGGTGTTAGTACTTGTCTTCTGCTGCTGATCTTTGGCTTCCCATCTCCAACACCGTTCCTCCTCCGTTTCTTCCATTGCTGTTTCTGGTTCCTGCAGGAAGAGGAACCTCAGTCCATCCAACCAGTTTGGCTTGAGGCTCCTACCATAGAGACACCCTTCATTTCTTTTCAGATTTACCTCACCATTGCAAACAAGATGCATGAAGAAGAGCTATAATTGCAGTTAGGGCATTGTTAACCTAAGGAATAAATTTCCATATAATGTTGAGATGGAAGGAAAAGGGGACCAAGCATGTATAGACCATAGACTGTCTTTCTAGTCTGTGTGAGAAAGGCAGGGAGGATTTAGGGACAATAGATAGAGAATAGTAAAGTGTTTTTTTTAAATTAAGATTTAGGAGACACTAGAAGCTTTATAGGCGTATTGGAAGGAGTCAGTGAATAGAACACTTAATCCCATGG